TGCTAAACAGCATTTTGGAATAGCACTAATTTGACTTACAAAAAAATTTATAATGCCTATTATATTAGATATATTTTTGGTATGAGATAATTCTTCAGGGTATAACAGTAAAACAAAACATAAACATTTATTTTTATTGATATTATAAAAAAAAATATGATTTGACCTACTTCGAAAACTAAACTCCTTTAATTTATGATCCTTTACTTGGAATTTTTATATATAATATAATCGATATTTCTACTTCTCTTTACAGTAGATTTAGTTCTTCAGTGTTAGATTTAGTGTAGTTTTCCTTCCGAAATTTAAATTTCGTACTGTAACAAAATTTTGTTGTATGAAAATTACCACTTTCACGTTTTTAATGTTTTAAGTCTATTTGTAATTATTGTTTACAGGTCATACAAAATAGTTTAAAGGTATGTAATTTGTAACTAAACGATTGTTTATTTGATGTATGTTATCTACTTATTTTAGGAATATATTTATAAAAGTGAAAAAACGATATAATTTAGGTAAACAAAACGAACAAAACGCACTCAAAAAAACTACTGTCACTTTAATTGTCAGTGGAACCATAATTACATCATCACTGAACTAGCGCATTATACGCTGGTACTGCTGGTAGTGCCTAAACACGTGTGATTGCAATATTTTGGCGTAGTCGGTTCTTGTCCAAACTAGAAACGGTAGGTGCGTGTCTATACAGGGCCGCAATAAGGAATTCTGGTCATTCTGGATAGACCGCGTGATTTACACAGTTTTTCGTTTTTGTTTTGGTGTAGTCTGTAAATTTGTAATATCTACACTACGTTTATTTTTTTTATATTTTCCACACTTTTGATGTAATATTTTTATGTTTTATCATAAAATTCCAAGGTCTAGGGGGGGGGGGGCAGCAGCCCCCCTGCCTCTAGCTAGGTACGCCCTTGCTAATAAATATTTAAAAGTCAAGTAAATTGCGTTTCAGATCAATACTTATAAAACACACGATTTTTACCAATACACACCAAAATTAATCTAACAAAAATGAAAACATTATAAAGCTACGACTTCCAACCTGTATTGTCTTATCTGTATAATTCATATTCATTTATGGTTTCAGATAAGTAGGTAAATAAACCCTCCTAAAATAACTGTGTTCGAATCTCTCCGAAATACGTTTCTACTGTATTTTAAAAAAGAGGGCCATATCAGACTAAAAATTACATTGGTTTACACAACGCAATTTCATGTCTAAACTCCAACCGAAGAGAAACTAATTTGATCGATCTTTGTAGACCTTTGGAGGATTGTGTTTCATAGTTTTACAAATACTATTTTCTGTTCGGTTTTTTAAATATTATTACATACTCAATCAAAGGCCAGAACTCTCTCTATTAGTTTTATTTGAATAATCAACACTGTAAACTAAGAATATTATTATTATTTGTTATATATTACAGTTTGTATCAGTATTAGTAACGCTATTAATAAATTATCACTGTCTTTGAAATACATCATTAACAACTCCTTTACAAAGTAAAAGTTTTAAATTCAACAACCCCTCTTGAAGCGATGTTTGTCAGTGACAATTATTGTTTGATTACACCTCCGACTCTGATAAATATACTGAAGACTTTTAAGAGCCACCTTTTCAAGTGCGAGTGAATTAATGAACAATATTGTTTCTGTTAACGCTCATGTAATTGAGGGATTTCTTATGGATACCAATGCAATCATGATCTCAGTTTGTTTACTGACATCAAAGGACTGTTATTAATGGAGTAGAAATATTTTTTTCGGTTACTGTGAATTAAATGGAAATTAACCTAGGGAAATTATAATTGGTTATATAGCCCACATAATATTTTATTAACTTTTGTTTTCAATATACTGAATGATCTTATTAAAACATAAGTAATTTAACTGTCCCATAATCAAACCCTTTAAGATAAGGATGAGAAATTATACAGTTTAAAAAATAGATAATGCCAATATAAGTTAAAAGTAAATGTTTCAATTGTTTAAATAGAGTTTTAAGCAAATTATATTTAAATAGTTTTTACGTACAAGTAACCTTCGCTACACATACCTGGGTCTATCAGACCCCAGCGAATTTATAAATCTTTACCTATTTCTGATACAATCTGGCAACCTCGTGTAAATTTGGCATATTGCTTCCGCTATTGCATCGTTATATTGCGAGACTTTTAACGGCTTTAGTATTTCAGTGATCAGCACGCAAAGTAGTGCCGGGGTTCTTTAGACCCCAGTGTATGTTTCACGTTAGTTTTTTTATTGTACGACTTTTCCTGGATTTTTTGGTGTTGAGGTAAATTAATTTTACTAATTTTGGTACAATATATGATTACAAGTCTTTTTTTTTACAGAATATCGACAATAATGTCTGATAGAGAAAGGCATCGACCTTTGACAACTTAAGAACTCGAGGCAGAAATGAACCGTTTAGTGTTTGAGATGGAAAATAAGGAAGAACCATCTGTTTCTGACAAGCCAGACTGAGATGATGACGAAGACTACGTAGAACAACAACCTTCCGACACAGAGCAAAGCGGGGAATCACAGACTGAAGAACCAGGTCCGTCTAATGTAAAAAAAAGTGAAAACCACATTGACTAAAGGGAAGAAAGGATATAGATGGAGCAACGAAATTCGAGAAAAAAGAGGGCGACAAGAAAAAATCTCGCTAGTCATTTACCTGCTGCAAAAACTGTAAAAAGTCCGCTTGAAGATATAATAAACACAATTGTTGCTCGCATTAATGAAGAAATAAACACTTTGTTTAGGCTCTTGTATCTTTGTGGTGTCCAGTGTTCAGAATATTTGAGTTTGCACGAGCTGTTGTCAGCTAAGTTTGGAATTTCACTATTTAGAGCTACTATGCCGTTTTGATGAAAAAGCTACTAGAGCACAACAAAGACAAAATGACAATTTGCACCTATCAGAGAAATTTGGGAAACATTGTGTCCAACTGTATACCACATGAATATTGTACAATTGATGGGCAGCTTATGTGCTACAGAGGCACGTGTCCGTTTAAAATATATTTGGCTTCCTGACCTGATAATTATGGTATAAAGTTTGTAGTATACGATGTAGTAGGAACATTACTGTCGATAATTGGTTTTTGTCAGTGAAGTTGTTTCAAAATGTGTTAACCTATGATATCCTTCTTTTGTCAACTTTACTTTCACTACAATTTAATATAATGTTTACCTACCTCGGCTTGCCAATATAATTCTATAAATAAAATAAATAATCTTTTACTCAGGGGTGCTTCAAATTGTTCACAATACATTTATTTAATTTATTTTGTTAATGCAGTTTTAATTCTTATTTTTATTTTAATTTTAATTTTATTTTATTTAAATTCTGTCAAAATCCAACAAAAAATGTGAATTGACTTGCTTTGAACCCTGTATGTTTAATTTTTTTTAAATAAACAAATTTTTCAAACAAAAACAAAGACATTTTTTTATTTACATAAACATCAAAAAATCAAAATTTCAAAATTAAAATTTATCAGAATACCCAGACACTAAAAACTAAACCTATTCCTAAACTCATGCACTCAATCAACTATACTATACTATATATACTAAAGACAAAGACTACAAATCTTTATCGATAGAAACATAATTAAATAAGTAAATACTGCAAAACTATTTAACTTTCTATTAATATACTAAAATTATTATTAATGTATGACTAACTGATACTTTGTACTGTAACAAAGAAAAACTAAATTATCTCTATATTAATAAAAAAAAACTGCTTTACAATATTTAATTTCTATGTCTAACAAAAAAAACTATTACCAGTGTCCTTTTTCACTCAATTTAAGAATTTTTGATTTAATCGTTAATTAGTTCATCAAAGTGTACTAACAGTTTTTTCAACACATTGTCCATTGCCACTAGAATTGGTTTTTTTACTAACTTCCGTTTTCTACTCCTCTGATGGGTTTCAATCATCTAACTGCCGGGACTGCGTTACGTACATTTTCCGTAATCATGTACTACCATATTTATTACTACTTATTACTTATATTTACGTGTTTGATTAAGTAAATTTGTTTATTCAATATATCTTATTATTTTATCAATTTATAATTCCTTTTTTTCCTATTTTTCCAAAAAGTAAATCAATTTTTCAAAATTAATCTGACATCCTCCCTCAAAATTGACATTCAACCACCCACATCCAAAGCATCCTTTCTACCTACTACCCAACGTAAGACTTTCATATCAAATTTTTCATATACAGGGTTATAATATTTTCCGAAATTATTTTTATTTCTCACTGTTATTATTATTATTATTAATATGGTTGTTATTATTGTTAGTATGGTAATTATTATTAGTTTGCTTATTATTATTAGTGTTATTATTATTATTATTATAAGTATGATTATTGTATTTGAACACAGGGTGTTTTCATTACAACACTCTTCGAAAAAATAAGCAGGAAATTCCTCCTAGTTTCCTAGCCGGAAAAAGAGAAGGTGACTCAGAATTTGTTTTTAATTACATAGGTATCAATTACTCATAAGTATAAAAAAGTGGTAATGTATGTAACATAAATTTTTAGACAAAAATCAATTTTACACTATTTGTTAAAATTTTCAACTTTACTTAAGTTAGGTAAACCGTTAACGATTAACATCATTTCTTAACAATAAGAATATTTTATAATGCACCGAATGGCCCACGATCTTCTAACCATTGTATTTTTGTTGTCAAGTATTTCATGAGTGATGGTAGTAACATCGATTTCCCGAATCTTATGGTAAATTGAAGCGCTCGGGGCAACAAGAGACATAAGCCATATATTACAGAAAATTAGGATTACTTCATTTTTTCATTCTACAAGACGGTCGCAAGCCACTAGTGAAATATTTTAAAGAAACATCAATAGATGGCACTATACCTAAAAGCCTTTGTTGCCTGCGCAGAATAATGTAGTTATTTGCAATCAACAACGACACAAGCCACAACATGGCGGACGGACCGCAGGTGCCTCTCAAGAGAAATGCATCTGAAAGTGATATAAGCAGTTGTGAAAATGATAGTGATTTCAGTGCTGAAGATAGTATAGCAGATAGAGATTATCGTCCAACTGTTAGTGGATTTGAATCTGAACAATCCGTAAGTAAACAAAATTGTGGCTTATGACTTTTTTGGTTTATTTTTTGGTGGGCATGTGCCATTATCTACTTAAAAACAATACTATTTTTTTTTGTATGTTCATTCATAAAATTTGTTTTCCAGATGGGTTTAAATGATAAAATAGTATTAATTAATTAAATTTTTGTTATTAAATTGAGAGATTTATTTATTTTTACCAGAAAAATTTCGAATAATTCTCTTTGCGGCTCAAGACCTTTTTGAGTTTAATTGTGGCTTATGACCTTTTTGGTTCCAAAATTAAAACAGACATTATTTTCTTGCAGGTCTCTGCAGAAGAGTCGTCAGATGAAAATTTTGAGGAACCAGTCCAAAACGTAACACAACAAGCTGGAACATCACGAGGTGTTCTGGTAACGCCGGATAAAAGCAATCCTTCTCGATGGCAGACGACGAATATAGAACGGAGGGAGAAAAAAAAAAGCGCCAAATCAAACGAAATATTGGATGCAAGTATGAAAGTAGTAGGGGAAAACGGTTTTGGATAGAAAAATTGGCCCGGCTTGTAACTGCAAGAAGAAGTGTAGAGAGCGACTCCTGGGAAAACAAACTGACATTTTCAATTCATGTTGGAACTTAGGTACCTACAAGTCCCAAAACACTTACCTGTTCGGATCCATAAAAGCTGTACTAAAGAAGCGTTCCTACAAAAAGAAAATAAAAAGAAGAGAATCGTCTCGAAAAGTCACTTATCAATATTTTGTCAAAGTAAATGGAATTGACATACAGCTGTGCAAGCAAGAATTTTTAGCCAGTCATGGTCTGCAAAAGTCTTCTAAGCGAGTAAGGCTTATTTGCAATCAGATCTCAGACGGGCGAAGTGTTCCACAAGATGACAAGAGAGGAAAACACAGTAATCGGCCAAATAGAACACCGTTTGAATAAGTAAAGTAGATTCAAAAAGGAAAAACTTGTAATTCGTGCAAAACTTTTTTATTAATCAATGCAAAGCGCTTTCGGCTTATTTGCCATCATCAGTGCTCATCTACAAAAATTGTGGATGTAAACTCACAATTTAAAAAGATTTTAAAAAAAATATATTATAAAATCTGAATTAGACTTTTAAGTCAAAAGTTAAAATAGTATATATACAATTGTTTAAACAAATTAAAAATTACAAGAAACAAACAAAGTGACAAAAAACTGGTATTGGGAATAGTGAGTGTGGGATAAGCCCTTACAAATCAAATCTGATCTCCAGAAGCACGTTAGCTTGTGTGGAATTAAGGAATCATGCCACCCTCACTATTCACAAAATTGAAAAAAGGTTAAAAAATTAGTTAAAATTTAAAGAAATTTACAATTAGAGGGTGACTGTGAAAGATATATTGAAATTTAAATCTAGAATGCAATATTTGATATGAAGAAAGTAAAACGCAGAAGGCCAAAGTAAAAAAACTGAAGGTTTTTTTTTATATGTTTTATATACATTATAATTATGAAAAAGTCTACCTACTGTCCACAACTTATCCAACAAGTGCCTGGTCATCCTCACTCCCAAAATTATATATTTCGGGATATTTACAACTTGCTAAATCATAATTTGATTAATATTAATATTTTCAAATTTAAATTTATCTCTTCATTTTGGTTCAAGTTGTTTAACCGTTTCCACATGACAGTGGTGACAAGCGACACTTGAAGACTTTGACTTGTCAAATGTCAACAGAAGGAGGTGCGTTCGAGTGATTGGAGGTTAACGGAGATCAAAATTTGTTATTGAGTTTAAAGATTTAATTTATTGTTAGTTAAATTTAAATAAATGTTTAATATAAAAGATATTATTATTTTGATGTCAAGACAAAATAAAAATGTCACTCGCGTGATTCAGATGTGTCAGCCCGGGCTCTGCAGAACATTCTTTCAGATAACCCAAGATGGCACAACTGAACCCGCGGTCCCTAAAGGTGAATCTGATGTTTAGTCCTAAAAATTACTAAATCACTCAACAAGCGTACTCATGGTTAAAAGAGACAAAATAGAGAACAAAAAAGTTTTAAACAAAGGAGTACCATGGTCCCAAAGGTAGGCTCTGATGGGTGAAATCGAGTTTAGGAGGGGATGGCTCTCGAAGGCTTGTGTTGGGTGACTCGGACCTACATCATCATAGAGGGTTAATTGAGTTGTCTATGGAGTGGTATGAAATTTCTGTTAAGGTTCACTTGAGTGTTGAGACAGAGTATATTGTTGTCTCTTTCGAGAGTAATTTCAACATCTTCATGAAAATCTAATAAATTGAAATTTTTTGTGTTTAAGTTAACTAATAATTTGGAGTTTTCTGTTGGGCTGACATTATGTTGATTGAACCTTAAGTGATGTCCGAATGCAGATGTGTCCGGCTTCTTGATGTGCTCGCCTATCCGGACTCCCAGAGATCTACAAGTTCTGCCGATATAACTGGCATCGCAATCGCTGCATTGCAACCTGTATACTCCACTCTTATCTAACAAATTCGTGTTGTCTTTTGTGTTGACTAGATGGGAGTCTAGTTTATTAATTGATTTAAAAGATACTTTGATGTTATCTACGTTGTTAGCAAAAATTTTTGAAATGCTCTTAGCTAAGTTATTTTCCCAGAAGGGGATTGATATGTAAAAATTATTAATGTGACTTAAATTGGGGTAGGCTAATTTTTGAATTTTCTTGAACTTAATTTTGGTGATTAGAGATTGAATTATGTCCGGGTCATACCCGTTGTTAAATGCAATTTGTTTAAGTATATTTAATTCTTGAAGATAATTAATTTTATTTAGAGGAATTGAAAGAAGTCTATGAATATAGCAATAGAAAGCAGACAATTTATGTTGGTGGGGGTGATTTGAAGAATAGTGTATCACGTAGTCTGTTTGGATGGGTTTTCTATATATGCTAAATTCGAATTTGTTACCCTGTCTATAGACAGAAAGGTCCAAAAAGTTCAAACAACATTCTTTTTCGGCTTCCAGAGTGAATTTTATATTAGGATGAATAGTATTAATTGAGTTTAGAATATTAGAAGCCGTGTTGGCGTTACCATTTATTAAGCAAAAAATGTCATCGACGTATCTGTGGTAGATTAAAATATTTTTATGTTGTGGAATAATGTAACTAGTTTCTAAATGATTCATAAAGATATCAGCGATTAAAGGAGATAGGCCACATCCCATAGCAAGGCCATCCGGTTGTTCGTAGGTGATATTGTTAAAAGTAAAGAAATTTTGTGATAAGCACAAGTTTAAAAATTGAAGAATGATATTTGTGTTATTGACAGAGACGTTTGAACTTCTCAGAACCTCCCGAACCAAAGACATGGTCTCAAACCTTGGGACTAAGGTATACAGGTTGCTGATATCGAAAGAAACCATGGTGCAGTTGTCAGGGATGTTGAAGTTTTTGATTTTATTACAAAATTCTAAGCTATTACTTACCGAGTTGGCTGGTTTGAATTGTGTGAGATCATGAATTAAGTTGCAGATAAAAGTGGTGATTTTTTGTAACTGGAGTGTTGATGAAACTTACAACTGGCCTAATGGGTATGTCTGTCTTGTGGATCTTTGGAAGTCCGTACAAGCGAGGCATGATTGGATTGGATGGTACCATACAATTTGAGGCTTGAAATTCTGCTAAAAAATCTTTGTTTAATTTAAGTAAAGCTTTAGTTCTTCTAATGAAAGTGTTGAAAGGGTTATTAGTCAAAGAATTAAAGTTATTTTCTGTCAAAAAGGTGTTTACTTTATTTAAATAGTCAACTTCATTGAGAATTACCAAATGTTTTTTAAAAGTTTTTGTTGGTGATGGACTTGTAAGTTTTGATGTTTGTTTAGCTGTTTTTTGTAGGCATAAAGTTTATGAAAAATATCCTTTCTGATTAAATGTTTATTAAAGATTGAAGGTAAGTATTCAATAATGGAATCCAGCTCGATAGACAACCCCAGCAAATCCCTCTCAGTGTGGTGTCCATGTAACGAGTGTTTCAACCCTAAGCTCAAGAGAGCCATCTCCTCCTCATCAAAATGAATATTCGAAAGGTTTTTAACTCTATCAAAAAATTTGAATTTAGAAAATTGATTGTTGTTTTGTCGTATTTTATTGAGGGCTGACACATCTGAATCACGCGAGTGACATTTTTGTTTTGTCTTGACATCAAAATAATAATATCTTTTATATTAAACATTTATTTAAATTTAACTAACAATAAATCAAATCTTTAAACTCAATAACAAATTTTGATCTCCGTTAACCTCCAATCACTCGAATCACACTCGGAGAAACATGTTCCACACTGAGGTGAACGCACCTCCTTCTGTTGACGTTTGACAAGTCAAAGTCTTCAAGTGTCGCTTGTCACCACTGTCATGTGGAAACGGTTAAACAACTTGAACCAAAATGAAGAGATAAATTTAAATTTGAAAATATTAATATTAATAAAATTATGATTTAGCAAGTTGTAAATATCCCGAAATATATAATTTTGGGAGTGAGGATGACCAGGAACTTGTTGGATAAGTTGTGGACAGTAGGTAGACTTTTTCATAATTATAATGTATATAAAATATATAAAAAAAAAACCTTCAGTTTTTTTACTTTGGCCTTCTGCGTTTTACTTTCTTCATATCAAATATTGCATTCTAGACTCAAATTTCAATATATCTTCCACAGTCACCCTCTAATTGTAAATTTCTTTAAATTTTAACTAATTTGTTAACCTTTTTTCAATTTTGTGAATAGTGAGGGTGGCATGATTCCTTAATTCCACACAAGCTAACTTGCTTCTGGAGATCAGATTTGATTTGTAAGGGCTTATCCCACACTCACTATTCCCAATACCAGTTTTTTGTCACTTTGTTTGTTTCTTGTAATTTTTAATTTGTTCAAACAATTGTATATATACTATTTTAACTTTTGACTTAAAAGTCTAATTCAGATTTTATAATATATTTTTTTTAAAATCTTTTTAAATTGTAAGTTTACATCCACAATTTTTGTAGATGAGCACTGATGATGGCAAATAAGCCGAAATCGCTTTGCATTGATTAATAAAAAAGTTTTGCACGAAATACAAGTTTTTCCTTTTTGAATCTAAACTACGTGCACACAGCTGTCAACCTTTTTTGTTTTTTTTTTAATAAGTAAAGTAGAGTTTACCTCGACCATGACATTAGTATCTCTGGACTTTACAAGGATTTTTATATTGACTGGTGAAGGGGAAAAAAATATTTCCCCAGTTAAAGAAGACAAGTGTCGAAGAATATTTTGCAATGAATATAATATAGGCTTCAAATTGCCGAAAAGTGATACGTGTTTAACATGTGATTCAATGAAAATTGATATTCAAACAGCAACTGCGAACAAGAATGGAGAAGACTTTAAAAGACTGAAACTTGAGCTTCAGTTACATCATAGGAGAGCAGAAGCCATGTCAAATAATATGAAAGAGGGAGTAAAATCAGTTAAACAAACCAATAGAAAAGTATTAGTTATTGCATTTGACTTGCAGCAAACTCTTCCA